CTTGAAACTTGTTACTTGAAGGTTTTTGGGGTCGCTGATAACGAATATGATGTCTGATTTTGAAAATTCAAAATGGCGGATCCAATATGGTGGTCGAAATTAATAAATGTTATTAATTTTTTATAAAACTTCGTATCTCTGGGTTTTGGGGGTCGCTGAGACCCCAGATGACCCCCTACAAAACTTAGTTAATAAATATACAAATTTTCAGATTAAAAATCACTTAAAATAAAAATTTTAAAATGTTGGCTTGCAAATTTTAACAAAAAATTGATTGAACATTTAAATTTTCCAAATTATTTTTCAGATTTGTGATCTTCACCTTTATTAGATTTGGCGTTTTTATCCATTTTTCTAATCTGACATCAATTTCGTACTCAGAGACGCCGAAAGCCATTAGATACCAAGTTTTATAAAAAATTAACAATTTTTATAAATTTCGACCGCCATATTGAATTTTAAAAATCTACCATCAGATTCGTACTCAGCGACCCCAAAAACCCAGAGATACGAAATTTTATAAAAAACTAATAACATTTATAAATTTCGACCACCATATTGGATCCGCCATTTTGAATTTTGAAAACCCGACATCAAATTCGTATTTAGCAACCCCAAAAACCTTCAAGTAACAAGTTTCAAGTGGATTCGACGAACTTTTATAAATTTCAAACGCCATATTGAATCTGCCATTTTGAATTTTAAAAATCTGACTTCAGATTCGTACTCAGCGACCCCAAAAATCCCTAGATACCAAGTTTTACAAAAAATAATTAATATTTATAAATTTCGACCGCCATATTGGATCCGCCATTTTGAATTTTCAAAATCTGACATCAGATTCGTAATCAACGACCCGGATAACCCCGAGATACCAGGTTTCATAAAAAATTATTAATTTGTACAAGATTTCCTATCACCTTTCATTTAAGTGTTGTTTTTACCCCTAAAAGCAAAAAATGACCTGATCTAGCAAAACGGCCAGACACGGGTATCTTTTTTTTGGTCATAATTTCTGAAAATCATTGATTTTTTCGTGTGTGAAAAAAAGTTGAATTTTGTCGGACGGTGTAATATTATTAATTGTCATTAACAAGCACCATAAGCAAGTGATTGTAAATCTTGGTTTTTGTACAATAGTTATTTTCGAATACATAACGTCTTCAAGGCAATAGTTAAAACACTACTTTTATGTATCGAAAACTTTATACGAGTTTTTCTCGAAACGTGTTTTTTCGCGCGCCCTGCAATGTAACTCAGCCAATTTTTAACCGATTTTAATCAAACTTACCACAAATCTTCTTTATCTTACTGGCTATTGCATGACATTGTTTAAACAAAAAGTGTTTTTTTTCAAGATGGTTCCAAATTTAAAAAAAAAATGTTTTAGTTTTCTCTTCGCCATGCAAACCGTATTTGCGTATTTTAACGGTAAAAATTTTGATTTTTAATTTTAGTTGAGATTTGTGACCTGTAGGCTGCACGGCGCAAAATCAAAGTTGCAAATTCAAACGCCTGTAACGCCGCCGATTTGTAATATTTTTTAATAAAAAAATTTTTTTTATAAAGCTTATATTGTGTTATTTAAGGTATGCTTTATTTTAATTCAATAAACTTTCCCAGTTTTTTAAATGACCCTCTGTGGACAAAAATCTACCGACAACACAAATCTTAACCGATTTTAATATTTTTTTTAAATATACAACTGCGATAAATTTGATTTATTTCAAACTAACCTTAAAAATGATACGTATATATGAAATTACGTTATTAGGATGGTTTAAAAAATGAAAAAATGATCAATTTTGATATAGCAGAGAGTATTGTGAACCCTTTTTGATCACAGAATGCGAATTTGACATTAAAATTGCAAAATTTTAAAATTTTAAATGGCGGATGCAATATGGCAGGCAATGTTTTATAAAAGTCACCAAATTCACTCGAAAGTTGTTATTTAGGGGTTTTTAAGGTCGCTGCTTACGAATCTGCAGTCTGATTTCAAAAATTCAAAATGGCGGATCCAATATGGCGGATGAGAAAATCAAAAACTAATTGGATTTGCTTGAAAGTTGTTACCCGGGGGTTTTTGGGGTCGCTGATTACGAATTTGAAGTCAAATTTCAAAAATTCAAAATGGCTGATCCAATATGGCGGTCGAAATTTATAAAAGTTCATCGAATGCACTTGAAACTTGTTACTTGAAGGTTTTTGGGGTCGCTGATTACGAATCTGAAGTCTAATTTGAAAAATATAAAATAGTATTAGATTAGAGTATTAGATTATTAGTATTAGATCTGCCATTTCAAATTCGTAAACAGCGACCTTAAAAACCCCTAAATAACAACTTTCGAGTGAATTTGGTGACTTTTATAAAACATTGCCTGCCATATTGCATCCGCCATTTTAAATTTTTAAATTTTGCAATTTTAATGTCAAATTCGCATTCAGTGATCAAAAAGGGTTCACAATACTCTCTGCTATATCAAAATTAATCATTTTTTCATTTTTTAAACCATCCTAATAACGTAATTTCATATATACGTATCATTTTTAAGGTTAGTTTGAAACAAAACAAATTTATCGCAGTTGTGCGTTACAGGAAAAACCTCTCCGAGTATTTAAAAAAAAAATATTAAAATCGGTTAAGATTTGTGTTGTCAGTAGATTTTTGTCCAAAGAGGGTCATTTTTTTTCCCACTGTGCCTCGTTACCATTGCGTTAAATGCGTTTTTTTAGAATTTTTGACCCCCTCCCCCCTAAAATAGGTAACGTAGTTTATGGACGACCCCTTAACTGTTATGGCGCAAAAATTTTTAGACAGCGGAAATGCGGCAAAACGCGATAGTTGCCTTCAGTCACAAACTAATTGATCAGATATGATCGTATTGCGCATAATATGGAACCAATATAACATTTTTCAGGTTGTAAAAACATTGAACGATTATACCACGCTTTTCTTTGTTTCACGAAAAAAACTGTTTTTGGCAATTTTCTTCTAACTTTTCTATTTTGTTCAAAACGTTTTTTTGTAAATAACAGCATTTTATATAACGTTTTTTGTTTTTCATAAGTGTCACTGACTACTCTAGCAGGTAATTAATTATTTAATAATTACTTATTTGTTTAATTGTTTGTTGAATCTTTTTTTGTTGGTTAACTTTTTAGTGTAATTAGAAGGGGCTAGATGGGATATGTAGTTTATTTTATCATATAATTAAAAGCGTATTACTGAAACTACAAGCGTCGAATAGTTTTGTATAAATATTTTATTTTTCTTGTAGAAAGGTAAAAAAATTATAAAAGAAAGACAAGTAAAGACGATTGGTCAGTAGAACGCATAAAAAATGCGGTGAGCGAAAAATGGGTTTCAACCTAACAGTAAAAATACTTTTTGTCCCTTAAATCACTTTGGAAAAAGAGGTGAAGATACAACCTTTATTTTTCAAGTTTGCTATCAATATTAGGTTGATTTTTTTATAAACACAAGCTTGCTTTTTAGGGAATCCCATCTTACTCTTATATTTCACTTTTCTACGTTTTGTTAATTGTACATTTAATTATGTAGCAAATGTTTCTAATAAGACTGTACCACTGATAAGTGATTTCCAAAGATGATTATTGTAATTAAATATAGATATAATGTTAGTTTTATTGAGCTTCAAACGTTAACTATCCCCTCTTACCATCTTTTCCCCTACAATTGTACTTTTTTTTCGTGTATATCTTTTACATTACAACCAACATCATTTTAATGATACAACCGCCATATAAAAATTTATTTATTACATTTTATGCCACTTTTATATTTTAGGTCAAAAGAAAATCCATTTTGTATCGAAAGTAAATCACTTATAAAACTTTTTGTGTCGATTCATTCGTTTCGGCAAGTATAAAATTTTTTTTTAGCTTTTATTAACGAGTAATTTTACTTAAAATTCGTTGTTAAATTATTAACAATAAGCTGAGAATTTTACATTTTTTAAAAAATGCAGTGCGGGGCAAAACAGGGTGTATTCAAATACATATTTAAATTTTATCGCAAAAGAATCGACATTTATGTTTCGAGATATCTGTACTATCGATGTTTGACTTTCGATTTTTTACCATATTGATGAATAAACTATTAAAAATTAACAAAATTGTTAAAAATTTTATTTTTAAAGATTTATCTGCTGTTATTTATTATTAATATAATATATAATGATTAAATTTTATAATGTATGTGATATATGTGGTATAATAATAATTTAATAAAAAGATAAAGAATATTCCACGATCTATTTATTTTCTTTATAGTACCCGGTTGTGCTTTACTATCGGGTCAAAACCGGATATTTTACATTTTTTTGAAAAACCTGGTTTAAATTGTCAAAAAAATTTTTTTATGTCATCACCTTGATCCCCTCATCTAAAATCCTTCTTATAGATAAACTTGATGTATGGCATTAAAAGTCAATTAATTTTATGTCTCCCAATGAGTAATGCTCTTAAAAAATGTATTTATTTTGGTTTTATGTAAATCCCTATATATGTGGTAATGTAAGCTATACACACAACAGGGTTTCTATTTTCTCTTCGCGAAATTCCATGAAATGTAATTTCTGTATTCTTAATGTCGGTAAATAGATTGAACATTGAGTTAATAATAAATAAACAATTTTTAAAAAATAGCAAATATTTTTAGTTTAATAAGTATTTAAATTATTTATACTGTTTCTCAAAACAGTTTTTATAATTTTTTTGAACTCGATTAAAATAATTTATTCAACGACTTATTCAAATTTTTATTTTAACGCTGGTTCATTTAAAACAGTGTTTCAAACATGTTACAATATATTTTAATTCGAATTTTATTACATAGAACGAGACTTTAAATTAATTATAATGCACTTAACTATTTAACGGTTTAAATACCTGTACAATGTATAATTATTATTTCTACATATCGTAACTAATTAATGTATTTTTGAAAAATGTTCTCTTCCTCTTAGGAATTTTTTTTGCAATGTAATGTTTTAGTATAAAAATAATAAAAAAAAATATATTAATATAATTAAATTGACGTGTTTCTTTTTACGCTTCCTGAAATTACATTTCTTTTTGACGATTATTAATCCATAGTTTTATATGTAAAGGTTTTCTATTATTTAAAATTTTATTATTTTTAATATCATCTCGAATTTGTTTCTCACTGGGAAGTTTGCCTTTCATAGTCAAATATTCTCCATATAATCGACGAATTTCTTCTTTTTGCTCTTCGGACATTCTCATTCTTTTAGCCTTTGTAGGAGCTACTTCTGTAAAAAATTATGTAATTTTTAATAAGTTAATTTGTCTAAAATTTTCAAAGCATTAAAACTAATTCTTACACTTATTTTTAAAGATAATAGAGCTGTTGCAATAAAACTTTAAACTGTTCAAATGTTGATCAATTTTGAATTTATATCACATGATGTAAAGTTTTGAAAAATTAAAAATATTTTAAATTAAAAGTTACTTTGAATATTTAAGAACTTTCGCATTAAAAGGGAACATTTTCTCACTATTAGACTTATTCCAATGGGAAAGTAAAAAATACTAATAACCTCATTTAAAAGAAATAAATATGAAGCTCAATTCCGCAACGTTTTCAAAAACGACAAAAAAATTTAACTTCATTAACATCTAAGATGCGCACTAATTATTAAGAATTTAGCTTTTTATAAAAAGTCATTTAACTCCGATTAACTTGAGTTGAAAGCTAAAAATAATACATATCATCCCATTTTTTTCGTTTTTATAAAAGTAATAGGCATCAGCCTCATTGTCATATTCAAGACAAAAGATCAAAAAGTTTAATCATTTTTTATCTACCTTTTTAAAAATATTTGCAAAAGTGTTCCCTTTTTTAAAAATGGGATTTTTATTTAAATAACGGGAGTTTTTTAATGAAATAAACAGATGATTAAAAATTTTTCTAAGAAAAAAAGTACTTTTAGAATTATATATTTTATTAAAACAAACCTAATGATCTTTTTAATCCTGGCTTTGAAGATGAAGTTTTCGAAGTGGATTTGCGAATTTTCGGTTTTAAAACAGTACTGCTTTGACAAGCAACCTGATTATCATGCGATGTAGTCTGATCATTGTTTGAATTAACAAAATCATGGTGCAAATCATTTTCATTATTGTCAGTATCATTTGGACCACTTTGAATCTGCTCATCGTCAGGATAAAATTGATCATTTTCGCCTGCGATTTCTTCGTCACTTTCATCGTCGGTGTTATATCCTCCTTCTGGATCTTGAGCTTTTTCAAGCATTGTAACGACTTTTGCGATTTCTAGCTCAGGAACTGGCATGCGATATATATCTTTATGAATTTTAGGGTCGTGACCTAAATGATTTGCGAGATCATTAATTTGACAATCGCTTATATTGAGTTTTAAACACTGAGTTGCGATATGTTTCCTGAGTTTTGTAGAACGTAATGTTTCGGGATTGTCAGCCCCGCATTCAACGCTGAATTTTGATAGTAATTTATAGGCTGAGAGATGTGAATTCTTCGTTTTGATTTTTCTTTTAATTTCTTCTATTTCTTTATCACAAGGAGTGCCGAAAACATACGGGTTATCTTCTGGAACTTGAGCATTTTTTCGATTTTTCAGTATTAACTTAATGCAGTTTTTCAAAAAATTTGAAACTATTACAGGAACTGATCTAGTTAGTTTTCCGCGAATAGCAAATCGTACGTAATTGTTAACTGCTTTTTGGGCTTCCTTGGATAAGGTATTATATACATCTTTATCTGAATGTTTATCGACTGTGGAGTGACACTCAAAATCAGAAATAAAAACACGCTCCATTTCTCCTGGTCTTCTTCTGTTAAATAAAAGCATTTTAACCAACGTTGTTTCGCTAAGAGACTTCCATTCATCAATCGAAAAGCGATTTGATAACTTTAAATAAGCTTCTTTTCCTTTCAGATCAAGAAAGTCATTTAATTTTTTAATGTCTTCTGATTTAGGAAGTGTAACTATTTTTTGTCTAGAAAGTCTTTTTCGTGTTTCTATGGCCGCTGTAGAAACTGTAGTTCTAAATTCTTTAGAGTGTAAGGAAAAAAATTTTTGGATATTTTTTATTGCATCTTCATCATCTTTTCTAATACAGTGGTTATTATACACTTCCCCAATTTCCTTAGTATACGTGCCAAGATTTGATGCAACTGCAGGGGATCTATACTCACCAGTAATTTCGTTCATTCCAGCAACTTTGTGAACCGCATTGATGTAGGTATCGAAATATGAATGATGGAAAATCATTTTAAAATTTTCAATAGGCGTATGCAATTTTTTTATTTCTATTAAAAGACGAGCCAACAATCTTAATCTGCTTCTAATCATATAGTTCAGATGATTTGATCGATATTTTAAACACAAAAAGTTGCCGTATAAAATTATTAACTCGTCAAATCTAATAGTTCGTGAAATTAAATCATCACGAAAAAATGGTAAAATTCTTTCTCGCATTGGAATGCTTGCTTCTTTATCGAAACTGTTAAAAGTCATTTTTCCTAATTTTGTTGCAACTCTATCATGTGTATTATCAATCCCAGTACAACGTTTGAAGTGACGCTTTAAAGTATTTCTTTTGAAAAATCCAAAACATCTTGCACAAGGTAAATAATTGTCTCCCGTTTGGGAGTCTTTTGTTCTGCTCATTACAACTAGTTTTTTATTTTCCATAGCATAATTGTAATTTCCTTTATTTCTTAAAAGATTTAATGCATCATTGCGATCTTTACAACCTTTTGGTAGAAGTAGTATTTCGCGAATTTCTTTTTCGTTTTTATGAACAGTTTCAAGATGTCGAGGCATTTTAATAACTTGAGCTTTACAATATATACAAAAGTTATACTTTGTAGATTCAGAACAACTTTCTACTATCAATTCGGCATCGTTTGGTCCAGCTTTGCCAGCAGGCATTATGTTTTTTGATACATTTAAAACTTCGGTTGTTTTCAAATTTGTACTTTCAGCAGGAGGCGTTTTTTCTGCAGACATGTCAACATGCATTTCAGATAGATCGTCATTTTTAAATGTTTCTTCTATATCGTGTGCACTAATACTTTGACTCAATTCCGAAGGCGCATAATCTGGGTCGGAGGAATCTTTATCCGATCCTTGAACGTCTATTAATAAAAGTAATTTTTTAACTGTTATAATTATCAGTCATTAAATAAATACATGGACAAACACATTAACTGAAATCACACATGGGAGATTTCACGTAATTTTTTGATATGTAGTGTAATTCTTGGTAAAAATATTTTCTTGTTTAAACGATGGTCACTTCACGTGAAATCTCTTATATGTTAAAGTAGATGAAATTAATTTATTTATTAATTCATGAAAGAATAGTATATTTTTTGGAAAAAGGGTCATACAAAAATTAATTGGCATAGAAACTTTTACATGCAAAGAAATAAAAGTGTTCAGAAAGTACAAAAAATGAAATGGAAACTAAGAGATACGTGACAGAATACCTAGTCTAAACAAACACAAAATAAATATTTAAAGAAAAACAAGTTTTACTTACAATCAGAAAAATTTGTGTCATCAATTAGTTTCTCGAGTGGTATATCATCTGAAGGGCCAGCTATAAAATTAATGTAATTAAATACAAATATACCACAAGAAATAAATACTATACACCATATTAAACTCTAATATTTTTTTTAAATATTTATAAAAAGGCATTTTATTGCATAATTGAAATGACTTACCAATGTTTTGGTCCTGGAAAACTATTTCATTTTGCAGAAATGATGTTAAACTATCATCAATAAAACCATCAGTTGATGCAATCAGTTTATATGGTTGATCAGAAGTGTCCTCTTAAAAAATAATTATTTATTAGACAATAATATTGGTACTCTATAATGTTTTTATTGTTTAAATACAATTTTTTATCATAATTAATTTACAAAATGTATTTTTACGCAGCTAAATATACTCTATATAAAAGTGTACGCCAGTTATACAAGTGAAAAATTTTGAGTCTATTTATTACTTCGTAAGTCGAAAAAAAGTTTATATTCAAGTATTCAAAAGTCGTTTCCTATTAAGAGTAAGCCAACATTTGATGCCTTTTTAGACACTAAACTGCATTAGGAGATTTTGACCAATACTTTTTTCTTGTCCAGAATATTTTTCTTTTATAACGTTTAAATCTATTTTATATTATCAGAATTCACTACAGAAATTTAAAGTAAATCTTGAAGTGTAAAAATGACGAGCAGAAAAATTTATGCAATTTAATTAAAAAATTCTAAAAGCTAACTATTATATCACTATTATATGTACTATTCGATAAAATAAATTTAGTTTTAAAAAATTTTAAACATCGGCTAAATATTTTTTTAAAAATTCCTTTTTTTGATGCTCATAAAGGTATATAACCCCTTAAAACTTAATGTTTTATTACTTAGATATATAGCTTTTTTATAAGCCTCAGTATGCCCAAGATAAAACTTTTTTTTAAATAATTTCTTATTTTAAACTTCCTATGTAATTTTTTAAAAAAATTTTGAAAATAGGTTTTAAACGACAGTTTTTTTTAAAGTTCAAAATAGTAAAAGTCTGCCATCATCCAAGATAAAAATTGTTTCGTGTAAAATAAATACAGCTTACCATTATTCTCTTTTTGATCATAACTTTTACTTGTCTTTGGTACAATGTAAGTATCATTTATCACTTCATTTAAATCTAAAAAAGATAAAAAAAGTTATTAATCTTTTCAAATAAATATTTTCGTTAACAAAATATTGTATATAATATATAGTATATATTTTAACAAGTAAAAGAGTGATTCGTAAATACAATAAAGGCAATGACGGTATACTTACTAGGTTCCACATGATTAAGGGATGATTTTCCTCTGGGCTGAAAATCACCGTACTCTGAAAAAGTGTTGCATATAATTATAGTAAAAACGTCAGAAACGAAAATCACATTAGAAGTATAAAAGGTAAGAAACGAATAAATTCCATTAATATTCAAGTAATTTTCAGTTTTACAATAAAATAGGCAAAGAATATATAATTAAAATGTTGATATATGACTATTAACGTACATTGAAAAATTTTAAAGTAGTTGTTTTAAAACTTGGAAAGTAAAGATTTTCATTTTCTGTAAATGTGACATATTTAAATTGGATAATACTTTGAAATATCAAATTCTCAATCATTTTTTAATATTACTCAATTTAAAAATGGCACTATTAAGGACAATAAAAAACTCTTACTTTCGAAGTGTTAATATTATCTATTTAAAAATGTCATTTTCCAAAAGTTGGAATTTTTTATGTTGTTGGCCGGAATTCATCTTACAATGTGTAAAAATGAGGTGTATATAATATATAGAGCTTGTATTTACAATTAAAATGAAAGATCAGATATTATAAAGAATATTATTTTTAAATTAAACTTTAGAGAAAACAAAATTTCAATTTACCAATAATTTCTGTATTGTCAACAAGACATGTTACACTTAATTTCTGCACTTTCAACATTTCCTGCGCGTTCACATTATTATTCATTAAATCTAAAACAGGCATTAAATATAGTATTAAGTGAAGTATTTTTAGAAAGCATAAAAATATAAATATTTTATACCAAATAACACATAAACTGACCAGGAAGTATTTTAAGTCTTAAAAAAAATATTGTAATATCAATAAGCCTATTATGCATTATTTTATTGACTGCAAATATAAGTGAATTTTATGTAAACATTTTGAATCTAAAAGACAAAAGAATTATAACTCTTTTTAGAGAATATAAATACTTATCTTTGCAATTAAAAAATGATCAAGTAATAGGAAGAATATTATTTTTAAATTTAAATTTACAATTAACAGAATTTTAACTGACCAATATTGCACTCATTGCTTTCTGTATTATCCAGGGGAGTAATACTTAAATTAGGTGATTCCAACGCATCTTGCACATCCACAGTTTGATTATTCATATCTGAAAACGAAATCAAGTAAAGTAACAATTTGAAGATTATAAGAAATGTACACATATACAAATATTATATCCCAATTATTTAACCCAAATAGAAATTTCCCTATCTTAAGAGAAGGCTCCAATTGCGGCTACAAAAAAATAACCCAAAATTTGACATTTTTTTGCAGAGAACAGTTCTAAGTTATTAATATAGTTTTTTATAAATAAAAATACATCTTTGAACTTTAAAAAAATATTTTTTATTTTAAAAAAATTTTAAAATGGCGGATAAATTGTCGAATCTAAAAAAAGAATGTTTTAAAAAGAGTAAAATGGGGTACACCCTGTAAACGACAATTTTGAACGTAGAACTAAAAACCGAAAATATTTATAGATATCCTAAAGAACAGATTATACCTATCATCATGATTTTGAAGTCAGATTTAAAAAATTAGAAATGGCGGATTAAATATGTCAGACAATTTATTAGAAGAAATGATAGGATTCGATTAATAATAGTAAAATAACTTCACAAACATATTCTACACATATATAGCTTTCAAAAAAAGAAAAAAAATCAATTTTTTGAACTCCCGTAATGAGAGCCTACCATTAAGATCTAAATTATGTGAATGCCGTAGAAATAATAATATTTAATTTGCAATTAAAAAAGATTGTCAGATATTAGGTAGGATATTATTTTAAAGTTTGACTTTAGATCGTACAAATCGTTTTAGATCGTCAAATTTTAACTTACAACTTACCAATACTGCACTCATTGTTTTTTATATCGTCAATGATAGACGGCTCACTTAATTTTTGTGCCTCTAACCCTTCCTGATCGACCGCAATTTTATTATTCAAATCTGAAGAAGAAAATAAATAAATGTTAAAATAAAATTGAGTTTTTGTTTTTTGTAGCACTTCAATCAAACAGATTTAAATCTAAAAGAATTTTAACTTACCAATATTGCACTTATTACTTTTTGTATTGTCAATGATAAAAGGCTCACTGAAGTTTTGCGACTCTAACCCTTCCCGATCATCCGCAATGTTATTATTCAAATCTGATGAAGAAATTTAATATGTTTAAATATAAAATTGCTTTTTGTTTTCTTTTATCACTTCAAACAAAACGATGAAGAAGTAACCAGTTTCAGATAAGACTATTTCTACTTATTCTAAGATTTATCTCTTATAAAAAATTACACTTTTCTAATTTCAATTAAAATAGATTCAAGACTTGAGAGTGGGATGCTACACTCTATAGACACAAATTAGATCTATTAAAATTTGTGAAACAAAGTTCTCAAGAAATATGAGATGTTAGGAATTTGTCACTACGTGGAAAATTAGATGTACCTTAAATTTTGATTTCATACTAACCATTAATAAAAGTAAGGCTTTTTGAATTCCTTGAAAGATCACACCTTTCTAATTCTATTTTCAGATCGGTAGAACACTGACTTGAGGCTGAAAAATTTCAATATAAACATGTATGAACATCTTAAATATACATAATAAACATCATTCAATAAAATATGAACATCTTTATCTGTTATTAAGTCTCTCTTTTTGTTTTATTTTACTCAATAAATGTTAAGTATTTATTATTTATAAAAATAATATTACCATTACTTCTGGTGAAACTTCGCGTCTCTTCTTGTGATAAATCCGATTTCTCTAGGCTAACTGACGGAGTGTTTGCATTTAATGATGAGCATACCATTTTTAAGTTAGACGCTTTACCTAAAAAATATATGAATTTAACAGATAAGTTTTACTACTTAAACTGCTCAATAATATTTGACCACCTTACAACATATCAGGGCTATACAAAAAGTTTAGTATCTTTAATTCTAATAAAGATATAATCTTCGTCATATATTCATCTTAAAGCTTACATCTTTGACTCGAACGATACAAAAAAGAAAATTAAAAAAAAAATTTCATTGTTAATTGTTTAAAATGAAAAAAATTTTTCCATTTTTTTTGTAAATTCCAAATTGATACAGTTTGTAAAGAAATGATTCGAATTTAAGTCTGGATACGTCATTTGAAAGCTTATTTCATTTTTTTTGAGCCAGATATGACTATTTGTTTAAAAAATAACCATTTTTTCAATTGTTGATAACATATGAACAATTTACTTTTGAAAAAAATTGTTTAGACAAAAAATATGCCTTATTATGTGCAGAATTAGGAAAAAAATAATTAAAAAATTTTTTAAATAATTTTTCTTTTCTCTCTTTTTGACTTTATATAATTTTATGACAAATACATGAGGTCAAAATGAGAGAAAAACAAATTATTTAAAAAAATTTTTAATTTTTTTTTCCTAATTCTAGACATAATTTCTTATTTAAACAAGTTTTTCAAAAGTCAATTGTTCATAAGTTATCAACAATTGAAAAGAAGGGTTATTTTTTTAAATAAATGGTCATATCTGGCTCAAAAATTTTCGTAGAAAAATTTTCAGAAAAACATTGGAAAGATGATGAAATAGGCTTTCAAATGCCATATCCAGAATTAAATTCTGATCATTTCTTAAAAAACAGTATCAATCTGAAATTTACAAAAAAATAGAATTTTTTTTTCATTTTAAACAATTAAACAATCAAAAATTTTTTTTAATTTTCTTTTTTGTATCGTTCAAGTCAAAGATATAAGGTTTAAAATGCATATTTGACGAACATTATATCTTTATTAGAATTAAAGATACAAAAATTTTTGTAAAGCCCTGATATGCTGTAAGGTGGGCAAATATTATTGAGCGGCACTGTATTTATAGTACTAAAAGAATTTTTTAAACTTTGCGAAATAACTTTACTTAAAAAAGTACTGCAATATAACAGAAAAATATTTTTATTATTAATATTATATTATTAGAAATTTAGAAAATTTCCTAAAATTTAAGGTAAATGGGGACAGGATTGTTTCTAAGAAAGGTTTAAGAAAAAAATTTTCTTAAATATTACTGTATTAAGGGATGAAAAAAATTAACAAAATTTGTAATATGGTGGACGAACTTTAAAATTTTCTTATAAATTATTTAAATGTGCTTGATTTATGTCTTTAATTTATTTTTTTTATTTCAGTATTTTGTCTCGCATTTGAAAAAACAGGCTCAAAAATTATTCAAAATTTTTTCTTATTCCTTATGATTTCCATAACAGAAATTAACTTAAATTTTTCTTTTTGTCAATTTGGTTAATAATAACAAGTTTCACTTTGATTTTCAAATTTTTATGCATTGAGCGACAACTTGAATTATCTTGCTGCCAATTGTCAAGATATTATTAAATAAATAATATATTGCTTATTGTTAAGAATGATATGCCTAAGAGTATACAAATTACTTTTTTATAAATTATTTATTTCACAAAAAATATGATAACTTTAGTAATTTTACGTTATATATCCAGTCAACGAATAATTTACTATAATTTGGTTATTCAAATATCAGTTCTTAATTTCAGATAAAAAAGTAACGCTTAAAACAAAATTAAGTTTGTACTCTTAGGACACTTCACCCTACAAGTATTCAATTATCAAAAAATGAAATATTAAACTATTGGGATTATTGAACTTTTATATTTCAATTGTTAAATATCTTAAATATAAGATCTTGTGCAAAATTTAATTTATATGTAAGTATAATTAATTTTATTAGTTTGTAGTAGGAAGAGTAGTCTAGGATAGCTAGTAGGGTGGTCGAAACATTAATGGAATAACAAGTCAGAATTCTTCACTTTCATCTTCATCTCGGATTATTCCACTTCTCTTCAGATATGTTCAAAGAATCACATCTAATTATTTCATTAACAAATTTTTTATTTTTAATATTTTATCCAGTTTTCAAATAACCCCATAAAATCAAAAAACGGTAATTAATTTCCTTTAAATAGTCATCATTTCTCCTACAAATTTTTAAATGTTTCGGTCAACTTTCGTTTTCGAACATTTTTAAATTAACTTCAAATTATTGATGAGCGACCATAAAAATCTTCAAATAAGAAGTTTTAAGAAGAATGATTCGATTTTTCAAAAAAGGTAACCGCTATATTGCACTTGTTAATTGGAAATTTTTAAAAATTTATTTCAAATTCGTAATCAGCAATCCAAAAAGTTTGTAAAAACTTCATTCGCTATTCTAACCATCTTTAGTAAATATATGAAAATTCTAATGTCTCTTAAATAATCGCGTGAGTCGAACCCGCGTATATATTATATTAATAAATATAAAACAAAGTCTCGCGCAGGATTAAAAACATTTTTCTGTAAAATTATAATTTTGGCTTAGCATAGAACAAAAAAAATTGGGATTTTTAACGATACTACGATAATAAGCATTTTACTGGTACGCGGTTATATAGCTACAAGCGCACTATTGGTAATCTTACTTTTTAGAAGAAAAAATCTATTTTATAATTTTCCTAAAAACATTCATTTTCGATTAAAATAAAAATATATTTTTTTTAATAATTTAAAAGATTATTTCTGCTCTATCTAAATTTAATATTTCCATATATGTATGTATATAATGTTAGAACTATTTTTTGGTAAACAGAGTCTTACTGGTACCACGGTTATATAGCTATAAGTGCACTATCGGTACTCAAAATTTTTAAAAGATAACTAATTTATAGTTGTCCTCAAAAGATTAATTATTTTTAAAAAACATGATTTTTAATACTTTAAAACATTACTTCTACTTCAAAATTTAACGCACCTGTATATGTCACTATTTAAAAAGTTTATTCTGTTTTTCCTAAACACAGTCATAACGGTACCGTGGTCCAATAGCTAAGAGTGCACTATTGGTACTCTTACTTTTTAGAAGAGAAGATCTGATTTATAATTTTCCTAAAAACATTAATTTTCGATTAAAATAAAAATATATTTTTTTTAATAATTTAAAAGATTATTTCTGCTCTATCTAAATTTAATATTTCCATATATGTATGTATATAATGTTAGAACTATTTTTTGGTAAACAGAGTCTTACTGGTACCACGGTTATATAGCTATAAGTGCACTATCGGTACTCAAAATTTTTAAAAGATAACTAATTTATAGTTGTCCTCAAAAGATTAATTATTTTTAAAAAACATGATTTTTAATACTTTAAAACATTACTTCTACTTCAAAATTTAACGCACCTGTATATGTCACTATTTAAAAAGTTTATTCTGTTTTTCCTAAACACAGTCATAACGGTACCGTGGTCCAATAGCTAAGAGTGCACTATTGGTACTCTTACTTTTTAGAAGAGAAGATCTGATTTATAATTTTCCTAAAAACATTCATTTTCGATTAAAATAAAAATATATTTTTTTTAATAATTTAAAAGATTATTTCTGCTATATCTAAATTTAATATTTCCATATATGTATGTATATAATGTTAGAACTATTTTTTGGTAAACAGAGTCTTACTGGTACCACGGTTATATAGCTATAAGTGCACTATCGGTACTCAAAATTTTTAAAAGATAACTAATTTATAGTTGTCCTCAAAAGATTAATTATTTTTAAAAAACATGATTTTTAATACTTTAAAACATTACTTCTACTTCAAAATTTAACGTCACTATTTAAAAAGTTTATTCTGTTTTTCCTAAACACAGTCATAACGGTACCGTGGTCCAATAGCTAAGAGTGCACTATTGGTACTCTTACTTTTTAGAAGAGAAGATCTGATTTATAATTTTCCTAAAAACATTCATTTTCGATTAAAATAAAAATATATTTTTTTTAATAATTTAAAAGATTATTTCTGCTCTATCTAAATTTAATATTTCCATATATGTATGTTTATAATGTTAGAACTATTTTTTGGTAAACCGAGTCTTACTGGTATCATGGTTATATAGCTATAAGTGCACTATCGGTACTCAAACTTTTTAAATGAAATCTAATTTATAGTTGTCCTCAAAAGATTAATTATTTTAAAAAAACGTTTTTTAATACTTTAAAACATTACTTCTACTTCAAAATTTAACGCACCTGTATATGTCACTGTTTAAAAAGTTTATTCTGTTTTTCCTAAACACAGTCATAACGGTACCGTGGTCTAATAGCTAAGAGTGCACTATTGGTACTCTTACTTTTTAGAAGAGAAGATCTGATTTATAATTTTCCTAAAAACATTCATTTTCTTTTAAAATAAAATTATATTTTTTTAATAATTTAAAACATTATTTCTCCACTATTTAAATTTAATATTTCCATATATGTATGTATATATTGTTAGAACTATTTTTTGGTAAACAGAGTATTACTGGTACCACGGTTATATAGTTATAAGTGCACTATCGGTACTCAAACTTTTTTAAAAAGATCTAATTTATAGTTTTCCTCAAAAGATTAATTATTTTAAAAAAACGTTTTTTAATACTTTAAAACATTACTTCTACTTCAAAAGTTAACGCACCTGTATATGTCAATATTTTAAAAGTTTATTCTGTTTTTCGTAAACACAGTTATATCGGTACCGGCGTCCTATAGCTAAAAGTGCACTATCGGTACTTGTACTTTTTGTAAGAAAATATTTAATTTTTTTACTTACTATTAGAAGCAATTAACTCGACCATGTAGTGCACATTTTTATTCCGAAGAATTATTTTGTTTTTTTTAATTGATAAGACAACGGAATTATTAATCACTTTATATCGATCGTTAATTTTTATTAGATGATACATTTTTTATCACGAATAGCGAGGAGTATCAAGCAGCAATTATATTCTC